TCAAAACATCCCGGATAAGATACTAAAAGATCAGACATGGCTCTTAAGAACAATTGTCTTCCCAGTAGGTCTTGACATGCCCAATGCCACACACCGAAAGTATGTTCTGAAGAAAGCAGATGCCCAGATGTGTAAGACAACACTAACAAGAGTATTTGTTCCAGGATCTTGTGAGAATATCTGTGTTTCACCTTATGCAAATATACACAGGCAAATGGGTATGATTTGTTTTTATGATTCATGATTTTATATTAAGATGAACAACACATAAAAGGAGGCCATTGGATACATTAATGATAGTTGAAAGGTATTGATATTATGTTAGACTTTCAAGATCGACTTTTATTTAATATGCTTTCCAGCACAGAATTACTGTAATTCAATTACTGTAAACCGTATCTTATATCATTGTAAATTTTTCTTGCTGGTTCGGACCAGACTTGGTGAAAGCCAGGCTTAAGGTTCATGGTTCAACATAAGGGTAAGATTATGTGTTTGGATTGCAGGAGAAAGTACAGATCTGGAAAATCTTAACCCCTCTTCCACATTTTGTATCAGTTGAACCGAACCTGTTAACTGCACTTGACTGAGTGCATCCTGCTATCTTAAGCACTGGATACAGAGCAGGGGCCGTGTCAACATTATTGTTGGTAAGGTTTTCATTCCATCCAATAATGTTAAAAAATAATTAAAATGGCAGCCCAATAAAGCAACAGATAAAAAAAAACACATCCCATGGTTAAACACATTTTATTTTTCCTGCCTCCGTTGCATCCTAACTCTACTGGGAAAGTGGAATGAGCTATGGTAGATAGAAGAATGTGAATGGGCTTGTGTAAAACTAGCGGCCAATAAGAAGACATTTTTTCAGTTTATTAACGTATCTTACCATCCTGGTTTCTTTACGCTTGGCATAAAATGCAATTCATTGTGTTATTAAACAGATGTTTAAGAAGAGGTCATATTCTGATCTAGTATTTCCCATCCCCTACATATAAATACTCCTTGGCTGCCCACGTTTTTGCATGCATCTTTTCTAGCTCCCCTCCCTCCATCCCAGCTTCAGCTTTGCAGCCACCTCCCTGGTTCATTCCTTGTAAATGAGGGAGGGTTGTGAGGGTTGTGGTGTTGTGAATCTGATGCTAACGAACTTTGGCAACAATTTAATTTTCTTATTCATTAAAATAAAATCCGAACGCATCTAATTTCCAAGATTTCATATCTTGTAAAATGCATACAGTGTGAATTTCAACCGTGTCTACAAAATTCTCACGTAAGGTTTACAGTTTACAGATTAATACATTTCCAACAGGTGCATCTCTGTTCTGACGATGGGCTGCTCTAATCCTTTATTAAGCAGCTTCACAACGTTTGAACTATATGAGGAATTCGTCTGAACTATAGGTATGTTTTAGGTGGCTTGCTTTTCTCCTTTTCTGGGAGTTGCTATGGGCTTGTTTTCAGGGTGAGCGGGGCACGGGAAAATGTTTTTAGACTTTAGCTAAGATTACTTTATGTGCATGTAGTGTAGCAATTGCTTTCTCTCAACGCATAGAGATGCTTATTTATTTTGAGACTAAGGTGCTGTTTTGTGCGATTAAGATATAAATCTGACCTACCGCACTGGTAAGTCCGGTATGGATGTTGTAGATGTAGGGAATTCATGTACACGAAAATGCGCTGGAAGTGCTAAACCATGCAGGCTCCAGAAATTCAGCTGCCCCGATGAAATTGGACATAGAACTCCGTCACAAAAAAAACGGTGTCTAAGCTTAATAGGATGGACTACAACAATTTTGTTTTGCTCATTAAAAAAATGCAGGGTGATTGTACACAAAAAACATCATGAAGTTCATGCCTGGTCATGGCAATATTTTCACAATTGCAATTTGTTCAAAGTGGGCTTCCCTTAAGGGGTTCTTGGAATTTCTCATCAATGAGCCATTCCAGGTGCTTCCTGTGAAGCATGGCTTACCACTGACAGTGCTTGAGGTCCAGCAATGCTTACCTGGTAATGAGACCGTAACGCATGCAGGTCCTTCAGGAGTGACTAGATAATTAGGACCTTAGTTGGGTTTAGACCTCTTGCCTTTTCACATGTGCTTCCAGAAACCTTTGAAACTCTGTACCTTGCCTGTATCCATTTGCAACCCTTAACATTTTCTTGACCTTTCCTCTTTTATCTTGTGCTTTTTCTCTTTTTAAGGCAGACCCACCACCAGGAGCATCCCTCCAATGAGCAGCCAGAATACCTTCTGTAAGTATTGCGGAAGCCAGAGGAGCTCCTGGTGGTTATAAAGTTGATGTGGCTGGAAAGGGAACATGTTTGGGTCAGAAGTCTGTTTTAATGACCGTCTTCTGAATATGAAAGATGACTTTGTTTAAAGTGAACTATTCAACATTTGTTCAGGTTTTTCTTGCTCATCCCAGGCCTTCACTACGCTGTCAAAGCGGTACTGATGTTCCTTCTCCTTTCCAGGTCTACATGGCAACAACTAAGTATCTAATTGGAGGACATGGAGGCAATGCCTTTTCCTTTGATGGCCAGAATGATGGTGCCACACTGGAGAAGATTGGCGTGTGGGTAGGGGGCTGGCAGGTGAAGGCTGTGAGGATCTGGCTGACCAATGGGCAGGTCC